ATTTTAGCAAAAAAAGTTAACAAAGAAAGACTATTTTTTTAAAATCGAAAAGAGTTTTTGCATTTTTTCTATTTTTTGTCTAATTTTTATGTTTAAGAGTTATGAACCTAATGAGACCACTTGGTGATTTTCTGTTTTTTTTTTTTCAGTTTGATTTTTCGCGGTTTTAGTTTTGATTTTTTTTAAAATTCAATTCATTTCCTTTGGTAAAAGGACTATTCCTAAGGTAAATCTTATTGTTCAGATTTCCCATCGGACTTTAAAATTATCTATTGATCCAGTTTTCTCAAATGGGATTAATTTTTCAAGAAAATGAAATGAATTAGTGAAAAACGCAAGAGTTAATGTTAATAAAAGCTAAATCAACGTTAATGTTGTAATTGAGTTAGATCGAGGTTTGAATCGCACATCGAGCAATATTCGTAAATTTCGTGTCATCTATTTTGAACAATACAAATGTCATTCTGAATGTCAGTTTTTCTTGAAAATTAAAGAACTTGTTTGGTTTTTTGGAGTCACGGCGAATGTTACTTTAATATGATACCATGTTTGACCTGCGAGTTTTACTCGATGTAGTCAAAATTGGGGAAAAAAACCACCGTGAGGCTGAGTTCTTTTCCATTTCTATGAGAGGAGTCAGAAAAAAGAGACACACATTCAAGATTCAACAAAAAAATTGTGTAAAGTTTTTTCTTAAAATTTTCTCAATTCGTTCATTCGTCGCTCTATATTAATATGTAAATCGACAATCTCTAACCGCTTTTTACCCACAGTCAAGAAGTTTCAAGGATAATGAATTTGTTTCCCAGAAATATTTCGTCTGCGAGTTTTTGTGAACTGATTATCATTTTAGGATTGAAATGGACTGTTCTGAGCGCATTTGACATAGAGTGGACTATTTAGAGGCTGTTGGAAGTGTTCTAATCAAATTATATTTTCCAGGTTTTATCATGATTAAAGCAGAAGTGGAATCGGGTGCGGATTGTAACAATAACCCGATCTGTTCGTCGTGTTCGATAGCTCTGAAAGTCGAGTCTACTTTCACGTGCAGGTCATGTCTAGGAAATGTAGAAGGCACTTTTTGTAGAAGCTGCATTCTTGCACACCTCAGGAAAAATCATGCTGTGAGAAACCACTCAGGAAAAGAGGTCACGGTTTGTGATACGCATCAGAACATAGCTCACAAGTACTGCGAGACGTGCGATGTAGTATTCTGCATGGAATGTTTCGAAGATCACGCCCAACCATGTATTTAAAACCTCTAGTAGAAAAAGAAGAGAATTTGAACTCCGAAATTCAAGGTCATATAGGAAGATTAGAAAAGGATTCGAAGCCTGTTTTGAAAAGAAAGCAGTTGATGTCTAACATTTGCAATAAAATGTTAAGAAGCGCTGATCACACTCAAGAATCGAGGGATGTTTTCAATTTGGTTGCGGAAACATTTATGGATAAGTTCGATGATGTTTTCAAAGAAAATAAGACTAGTTGTTCAAAAAGCATTGTGGATTCTATCAATAATTCCAAAAAATGCTTGGAGTCAGTCGAGGAAAAGCTAAATGTTTTGAGAGATTTGGGGCATTCGCTACCTATGCAAGGAGTTCAAAAACTAAATGAGATCGTATCGAACTGTGAAGAAGCACTTTCAAGAGCTCCTATAGATTCAGATGAGCATATGTACTTGATGCCTCTTCATCTGAAAAAGAAACTTCCGGACAAAATGTTATTTGAAATAGCAGCAAAAATGCTAGAATTGTTGCAGTTTCCAGAGCTGGTACGGTCAAAAGTTATAAAACCAGCAGGTATCGCTATAAGTCCCGAAAAACGCAGGAATCAAAAGCAAGGACTGCTAACTTATAACCACTCTTTAAATGGTAGAATTTTCTGTATTTCGAAATCGGGAGAAAAGAAAATAAGCTTTTCATTGCATCCAAATTTAACTTCTGTGGCTAAAAAAAGCAAGGCGATTATCGATGAGATTCGGTATGAAGATATTAAGTCGGCATATGCTACGAAAACTTAATGGTGCTAAATTTGATCGGTTCTGAAAAGATTGTAATTGATATAGATGTCTCCGAAATTGTCAAGAAATATGATGCAGTATCGGAACCATTGTTGACTCCTGAAGTTCTTTTTGTTTATCCATCCCATGAAAATGACTGCGAATGCATTTCTATGAGCCAAACTTATCATCTATTCGCTTATCAGGCGTGAATTTAAGTGCCTTGTCAATTGATGGTGTGGCGAGGCCTAAGTGCTTAGACTTGCACTTTGAATTTAAAGTTATGGCGTATGCAGACTTCCTCTGATTCTGTTGGATTCTGTCTCTTATCAGCAAAAAGCAGCTGAAAATTGAGAAAGAACTGCATGGGTTAAACACAGTCGACGAGGTTCACTTCTTGGGCGACAGAACTCTACTTCTCTTTGAGAATGAATCACGGATAGTTGTAGCTTTGACTGAAGAAATCAAAGAGTCCTCCTGGAAACTTTCCAGTGTTCATCGCCTAAATGAAGGAAACTTCATCAGTGATTTCATAATAGAAGGCGATTTTTCCTGTTCTCAGCCGATCCGAAGTTAAAGCAGCCACATAACTGCGAAAATGCTTCGATTGTTTGTTGTTGCAAGAAAGGGAAGCATGTAGATGGAACGGCGAAGAAAGTCAGACGGGTGGACTGTTGTAATTTTGAACCAGTTGACTCGTTTGAAATAGTTTTTGCGAACAAGTACTACGCGCGCTTCAGTGCATGTCGTCATTCGGATTCGATGACGTCACAAACACGAGACCAAAACTTGGGTACTTCTGCCTCTTCCTCGTCTTCTATATGATTGACAGCTATGTAATAATGGTGCTTAATGTATAACTTTAAGTTAATGCCAATACAAGCCTTCAACATTTTATTTTTTCCAAGAAATCTATTTATTTTCACATTTATTTTCATATCATCCAATCTCATGTTAAGCAGTTAATGTAAAATTTTATTTATTTGAAATTGATGAAAGATCTTCTAGAAATATTTTATATACGATGACAAAGATATTTTTCCCATTGGATTTTTTTAGCGATGTCAGTACAGAATAAAGAGAAGAACTTTATTGAAGCCACTGATGCTCATTTAAAACAATTATGAAGGAGTTTGGTTCAATATAAATCTGAAGGTTCCGCTGTGCGATGACCGGACAAGGTATCAAAAAAAGATAGAAATTATAAGAGTTTAAATTTCATAATTTTTCCTATTTTCGTTTTATTGCGATTTGCGGGAGATTAAAGTGAAAACCGTTTTATGGGCACAGTAGTTTGCGCCTGAATTCTCAGAGGACACATTTGTTGTGTAAAACCGTTTTTTTGAAAATCGATTTTCAGATAAAGTATAATTTTTTGGTTTCGGTATTTTATAACAAGACGAGAGTGCCTATCTGGGTTTAAATATGCAGCTGAAAAAATCATCTCCGTAAGTTTTTGAAAACATCAATGATTTTGCACATGTGTTTCAAACTGCAGTGCAACTTCATTGTGCTGTAAGTGAAACGCGGTCAATATTTGTGTACAATTTGTCGTACTCAATCTCCATAGCGTCTGAAATAACACGTTTCAAGTAACATCAAATAATTAGGCTGTCTCGAGTGGTTACCAATTAGAAGCAAATGTTGGATGAGCTAAACTCAATTCTAGTTTAATTGTATTATTAGTATTTAAACTGGAATTGAGTTCAGCTGATCCAATAATAGCGGCCGCTTTTACAGCGCTATCGAACAATCCGCCGCTAACTAATTCGCTATTGGTCAATCGAAACACTCCCGCTAATAGCGCCGCTATCGCTACCGCTTTCACACCTCTGCAAGCAACCGTCCCCAAAGTAACAGTAGTTTTGTGATTTGTAAAACGTTTTGATCTCCAACCAGAACTTTTTTCTAAACATGAAGAAGCATCGAAATTCTAAATCTACAATTGCTTTTGTTCAAATTTACTTTCTATTTTGCTGTTTGAGAAATTTTTGCAAGCTTTTGCGACTGTCACAGGTGACCGTGCCGTTGTTTTTTAAAACATCAGTTTCTAAAAGTTTCTAGAAGAACATGATTTTTAAAAGATCATGTTGTGAGAAACCACTCAGGAAAAGAGGTCACGGTATGTGATACGCATCAGAACATAGCTCACAAGTACTGCGAGACGTGCGATGTAGTATTCTGCATGGAATGTTTCGAAGATCACGCCCAACATGTATTTAAACCTCTAGTAGAAAAAGAAGAGAATTTGAACTCCGAAATTCAAGGTCATATAGGAAGATTAGAAAAGGATTCGAAGCCTGTTTTGAAAAGAAAGCAGTTGATGTCTAACATTTGCAATAAAATGTTAAGAAGCGCTGATCACACTCAAGAATCGAGGGATGTTTTCAATTTGGTTGCGGAAACATTTATGGATAAGTTCGATGATGTTTTCAAAGAAAATAAGACTAGTTGTTCAAAAAGCATTGTGGATTCTATCAATAATTCCAAAAAATGCTTGGAGTCAGTCGAGGAAAAGCTAAATGTTTTGAGAGATTTGGGGCATTCGCTACCTATGCAAGGAGTTCAAAAACTAAATGAGATCGTATCGAACTGTGAAGAAGCACTTTCAAGAGCTCCTATAGATTCAGATGAGCATATGTACTTGATGCCTCTTCATCTGAAAAAGAAACTTCCGGACAAAATGTTATTTGAAATAGCAGCAAAAATGCTAGAATTGTTGCAGTTTCCAGAGCTGGTACGGTCAAAAGTTATAAAACCAGCAGGTATCGCTATAAGTCCCGAAAAACGCAGGAATCAAAAGCAAGGACTGCTAACTTATAACCACTCTTTAAATGGTAGAATTTTCTGTATTTCGAAATCGGGAGAAAAGAAAATAAGCTTTTCATTGCATCCAAATTTAACTTCTGTGGCTAAAAAAAGCAAGGCGATTATCGATGAGATTCGGTATGAAGATATTAAGTCGGCATATTGCTACGAAAACTTAATGGTGCTAAATTTGATCGGTTCTGAAAAGATTGTAATTGATATAGATGTCTCCGAAATTGTCAAGAAATATGATGCAGTATCGGAACCATTGTTGACTCCTGAAGTTCTTTTTGTTTATCCATCCCATGAAAATGACTGCGAATGCATTTTCTATGAGCCAAACTTATCATCTATTCGCTTATCAGGCGTGAATTTAAGTGCCTTGTCAATTGATGGTGTGGCGAGGCCTAAGTGCTTAGACTTGCACTTTGAATTTAAAGTTATGGCGTATGCAGACTTCTCTGATTCTGTTTGGATTCTGTCTCTTATCAGCAAAAAGCAGCTGAAAATTGAGAAAGAACTGCATGGGTTAAACACAGTCGACGAGGTTCACTTCTTGGGCGACAGAACTCTACTTCTCTTTGAGAATGAATCACGGATAGTTGTAGCTTTGACTGAAGAAATCAAAGAGTCCTCCTGGAAACTTTCCAGTGTTCATCGCCTAAATGAAGGAAACTTCATCAGTGATTTCATAATAGAAGGCGATTTTCCTGTTCTCGCCGATCCGAAGTTAAAGCAGCCACATAACTGCGAAAATGCTTCGATTGTTTGTTGTTGCAAGAAAGGGAAGCATGTAGATGGAACGGCGAAGAAAGTCAGACGGGTGGACTGTTGTAATTTTGAACCAGTTGACTCGTTTGAAATAGTTTTTGCGAACAAGTACTACGCGCGCTTCAGTGCATGTCGTCATTCGGATTCGATGACGTCACAAACACGAGACCAAAACTTGGGTACTTCTGCCTCTTCCTCGTCTTCTATATGATTGACAGCTATGTAATAATGGTGCTTAATGTATAACTTTAAGTTAATGCCAATACAAGCCTTCAACATTTTATTTTTTCCAAGAAATCTATTTATTTTCACATTTAATTTCATATCATCCAATCTCATGTTAAGCAGTTAATGTAAAATTTTATTTATTTGAAATTGATGAAAGATCTTCTAGAAATATTTTATATACGATGACAAAGATATTTTTCCCATTGGATTTTTTTTAGCGATGTCAGTACAGAATAAAGAGAAGAACTTTATTGAAGCCACTGATGCTCATTTAAAACAATTATGAAGGAGTTTGGTTCAATATAAATCTGAAGGTTCCGCTGTGCGATGACCGGACAAGGTATCAAAAAAAGATAGAAATTATAAGAGTTTAAATTTCATAATTTTTCCTATTTTCGTTTTATTGCGATTTGCGGGAGATTAAAGTGAAAACCGTTTTATGGGCACAGTAGTTTGCGCCTGAATTCTCTGAGGACACATTTGTTGTGTAAAACCGTTTTTTTGAAAATCGATTTTCAGATAAAGTATAATTTTTTGGTTTCGGTATTTTATAACAAGACGAGAGTGCCTATCTGGGTTTAAATATGCAGCTGAAAAAATCATCTCCGTAAGTTTTTGAAAACATCAATGATTTTGCACATGTGTTTCAAACTGCAGTGCAACTTCATTGTGCTGTAAGTGAAACGCGGTCAATATTTGTGTACAATTTGTCGTACTCAATCTCCATAGCGTCTGAAATAACACGTTTCAAGTAACATCAAATAATTAGGCTGTCTCGAGTGGTTACCAATTAGAAGCAAATGTTGGATGAGCTAAACTCAATTCTAGTTTAATTGTATTATTAGTATTCAAACTGGAATTGAGTTCAGCTGATCCAATAATAGCGGCCGCTTTTCAGCGCTATCGAACAATCCGCCGCTAACTAATTCGCTATTGGTCAATCGAAACACTCCCGCTAATAGCGCCGCTATCGCTACCGCTTTCACACCTCTGCAAGCAACCGTCCCCAAAGTAATAGTAGTTTTGTGATTTGTAAAACGTTTTGATCTCCAACCAGAACTTTTTTCTAAACATGAAGAAGCAATTGCTACAATTGCTTTTGTTCAAATTTACTTTCTATTTCTGCTGTTTGAGAAATTTTTGCAAGCTTTTGCGACTGTCACAGGTGACCGTGCCGTTGTTTTTTAAAACATCAGTTTCAGAAATTAACTAAACAATTGGTTGATTTGACGATATCTGTTTTGTAATTTAAAATATACTCCGCCTTGGGTCCATTTTGTGACCCTCTGTATAAAATTAACTTTAAGTTTTGCAAATGATTAATTCATGTGTCCTGATGCGATTGAAAAAAGTTTTAAAATTGCTTTCTGAGTGTAATTTGACCATGGTAAACTGACCAAATCGAAACCGTCCAATACAGAAGCTTAAATCTTATTTCAGAGTTCGCTATGACTAGTTTAGCGGCGACAACTCCTGCTTCCAGATCCTTGTTGGGTCCAGTGGGGGAGATCACAGAATGCAGGGCATCGCCGGAAGGAGTCACTGACCTGTGGGCCTCTAGTGGACTGTACTTGAAGCCAGTGGCCAAAGTCAGTATCACAGTCTCCATTCCCTTCGTCAAAGGGAAGGAGGGGTCGAGGGTGGTCTCAAACAGCGAAGTGATGATGAACATCAAGAAACTGGTCACGCCTCGAGAGTTCAAGAACTTGAAGATCCTGAAAGAGACAAACACGTTTTTGAGATACCTGGGTAATGCTATTGGCTTTTTCAAAAATGTTTGCAGCCCTTTTGCGAGGTAATTGTTTCAAATGGTTCTTGAAACCTCACGTTTGTATCGATAAAAGAAAAGTATTTATTTTTAAGTACTCTTATATAGGTCTTCCTGATTTTTTTTTCAGGAAAAAGTCTAAAATTTGTTGAAGATCAGTTTTGATTTTTCTCGGTTTGACTTTTGATTTTTTTAAGCTCAGTGCATTTCTAATGTTAAAAGGAAGTCAAACTCCACTATCGAACAGCAAAACTGTTAATGTCACGAAAAACGTGATCGACTTTTAATTCCTGAAGTAAATTTTATTGTTCAAATTTCCCTGCGGAGTTTAAAATTATATGTATTGATCCAGTTTTTTCAAATTGGGTTAATTTTAACAAAAACGTGTCCATCATAAATTGTTCTACAAATTCAAAGAGCTTTAAGGCCATCTATTTTTTCTTCGAAGTTCAAGTTTTTTTTTCAGTTTCCTTGCGTTCATTACTCTTTTCCAACTGTCTGTCGGCTATGTTTGTGTCATACAGAGCAAATGTTTTTTCGTTTCAGGAGAGATTGAGGAGAAGAAAGACTTGGCCATTTTCGTTTCCAAACTTAACGGTAGTTTCATTCAGTTGAAAAGTTTCGGAAGCGACGCAGTCTTCAAGGTTGTCCACCATTCTCATTCATTTAAATACATTCAGTAAAGTAAAAGAAGCTGATTGTCATCGCTATGCAGATCGGTCAAGTAATCAAGTGGCGACATTGCTTAGTCAACTGAAAATTTTGCTGAGAATATGAAAAAAAAACGTCTAATTTCAAAAAATAATAAATTTGGTATCATAAACGAAGAGTAATTTTTAATCGATCTGCATTCATTGGCATGTCCGATAAAATTGGACCCTAAGTATGTCGAGTATGTGTATTTAATTTATTTAATCTAAATCAGCTAATAGTTTAAGTTTTTGTAGTGTCCTATAACAAAGGTTCGATTCGGTTATTGTGGATCGTCTCTCATTATCAGAGAAGATTTGTTATTCTTCCATTTATGTCAATCAAGCGACAGAAATACAAATGCCGATGTTACTCGGATGTTTATTTCATTTGTTAGCTTAACGCTGCAGAATATGACATAGTAGTTCCGAAGCAAAACGACTGGGTTTCCCACTTCTCAAAAATGATTGGCAGCAACGAAGATAAACCGGGGCTACGACCGGACACTATCTTTCTTACCGGGATACCCTGTGCCTGGTTCTCCAACTATCATCGCGATAAGCTCCGAGCAATCAAAGAGTTCGAACGCAAGCGTGAGAAAGTGAGAAAGAAACGGATGATGAGGAACCGACGTCGTCAGAGGGGATCCCATGTGAGCTCATCGGACCAATCAGAGGGAAACTTTGCCTCGTCATCTACTGATTCCGACGAGGAGGAAGCAATGAAAAAACGAGAACAACAGAAAAAGATTTTGCTGCAGTTTCAATCAGGTTTGTTCTTATTAGGGAATCTGGAGAAAAATATGGTTGCTCAATGTGCCAAAGTTTGTCCGAATTCCTTTATCTAAGGATAAAAATGTAAAGTATAACGGGTTAGGTATCAGGTGTTATTTTTTCTTGAAAATAAACAGTATATGGAAAGTTGAACTTATAATGTGGTGCAGTGAACTGCTTTTGATTCTCGGATTTTTACCACAATTATTGATGTCGCGTAAAAAAAAAACATTTCCGAAAGATGTCGGAAGCTCCTGCTTTAAGCTTACCAATTTTTGAAATTGTTTCAGATATAATTTTTCTTCGCTTTCTGAAATTTGTTCCTTTTTGTTTCTCTTCTGATGTTTGTTAATCGCATAGTAATTCATTCCAGGAGAATATAAAAACACAGAAGAAGGCAAAGATTTTCTTCACACCAAATACGAAGTGCATAAGATATACCGTGTGGACAAATCAAAAAGCGAGTCCAAGTCCAAAAGGAAAAAGAGACGACGTAAATCGCAGTCGGGATCCGGATCCAGGAGTGGCAGTGAGAGTCGGTCGTCTTCGGGTTCCAGGTCTAGATCTTCTGGCAGTGGAAGTCGTTCAGGTTCCTCGTCCAGAAGTCGCTCTAGGTCAGAAGAAAGAAAAGCGTCTGTGACGAAAAAATCAACTGTGGCAAGCGTCAATAAGGCTAAGCAAGACCAAATGCAGTGGAAGAAAAATACGTTTACATCGATTGGAGGTGAAGACGCGGAAAACGAAAAAGAGAATGTAGGGCAAGAGACTTCTGAGAAGGAGAAGGAAAGCGCACCTGTGGCCGAAGATGATGAAACTAGACAGAAGCGACTAAATGCGGTTGGTTTTCATATGCTTAGCATACAATTTTTGTTGGATAATATTTTCTTAAGGTTATGGAAAAAGATCTTGCGTCTCTGAGTTCAAGAAAGGGCGGATGAAGAAAACTTGGCTAAATAAGTAGGTGTACGTATCTTCTGTGAATAAAATCGGTCTCGTGCTCCTCTGATTTGGGTGATGCTGAAGATTAATGTATTATATATTAACATGCGGGCTTCACTATCTCGCCTTGTTTTAGCCTTTTCAACGTATTATTTTGTTCATGTTTAACGAATGAATTTTCACATGTTTAAGTTTACTGTATATTGCAATGCTTAAGAAAGGTTTTCAATTTTTCCAGTTTATGAACGAAAAGCTAATTGTACGGCCCGAATGTATGGCTATAGCAATACCAGCAGGGGGGGGGGGGGGGGGGGGGGGGGCAGAGGCTGCTAGGATATTTGAGGAGTAACAAATCTTGCCTCTATATCTGGCTGCTCAAATCTTTTTGGTTTCCGAGATAAGACGTTTTTATTATTTTTCAGAAGTTTTCGAAAAAAATAAGTTGTTAAGTACTTAAAAATTCGAAATTCTCAACTCTATGGTGTTGCCCTGTCATGGTACTTTCAGAAGTTCTTTCAAAATGTTCTTGAAGCAAACTCTCGAACCAATTGAGAGGTACTAATAAGGTACTCCCGAGATTTCAGACGTGCGTGGCCTCCAAATTTCGATGCCCAAATCGTCATAGTTTCCGAGATATGACGTTTTTCTATGATTTAAAAATTCAAAAAAATTTACACTCTCGACTCTATGGTGAGGTGAAGTCAAGGTACCCCCGGGGTTGTAGAAATCGTCTCTAAATATGACTGCTCAAATCCTTTGAGCATCCGAAGTTTGGGTTTTTCAGGTGCCAGAGATATGGCCTCTAATTATGACTGCTCAAAAAATTTAGTTTCCCGAGATTGAAGATTTTTATCAGTATTTCAAACAAAGTCATCAATCTGAGGATTTTTTAAATGATGATTATTTTTGTTTAACCAAACCAACCTCAAATTTGAATTTTTTTCATGAATAACCATTTGTTCGAAGCTCCGGAGGTGCAAGTTTTACGCTAGTTAAGTTTTATTTCAGGAAGCGAAAAAGAAAGCAAGGCAGGAGTTCCGACGAAGACCTTGGCTTAATCTTCCGGTTCCCGACAAACCAGAGGAATCGATCGTGCGGCGAGTGTTCGAATTGTTTGGAGTGGTACGTCGACTAGAAATCCCAGTGCTGAAACAACTGGACTCGAACAAATCCGGTTTTAGGAAGGAGAAAAGGGACTCACATGGAATTGGAGTCTTCAACTTTGAGAACTTCGAGGCACAGTGCGATGCTGCGGATGTGACGACATTCAAGACGTTCGAAGTGTACATCCAGTATGAGACTTATTTGGGATTCACCGTGTCGATGAATGCACTGAGAGGAAAGCGCCTCTACTACAAAGACATAGATGGCAGGACATACATTAACACATTCAAAGTTAGTTAATTACATTTGCGAAAGCAAGTGTCTTGTAATCGGGAACTATGCTATTTTTCACGTAAACAATTTTTCTTTCAAATCTTACTTGTTTTTTTTTGGCTCGTTTCCACTGCCCCACCTTTGAATTTCAATTTTGATAATTTACTCAAACATTGTCATAATGCAATGAACCTTGGCATAGTGAACAAACTGAAAATTGTGAACAGATTTGTTCTTCATACTTTACATCGTAACATTACGCGTTAAGCCATAATTACCCGAAAACAACTATGAAAATTGTTAATTTAAAAGGTGGAGGATAGATTTTTGTTTTGCTATAAGAAATTTTAAGGATAGTTGCAAGTTGTGTTCATTGTAGTTTCAAAGGGTCATTAAAATCAATTTTTTTGGCTTAACCTGATGTGTTTAAAGATTGCCGGCTTTGTTTCCGTAAGTTTTGTTCGGTTGATAATTTAATATTCAAATTAATTATATTTTGGAGACATGCGAAATTTTTGTTAGACGTTTTTTCAACTTTTTTTTTCTAATTTTCATGTTTTTAAGAGTCGATGAACATAGTTCACTCTTATATGGGTCTCGGTGATTTGTTTTTTTTTCAGGAAACGTCTTTAAATTTGTTTAGGCTCCAATTTACTTTTTTTTGGCTCATTTTTGATTTTGTTTAAGTTCAGTTCATGTTCTTTGTTGAAAGGAAGGAAAACTACACTATCGAACAGAAAAACTTGATCGACTTCTAGTTGAATAAACGTATCGAGTTTCCCAGCGAATTTTTTTAAAAATTATTGCACCAGTTTTCTCAAATTGGGTTAATTTTATCAAAAAAGTGTCAATCATAAATTGTTTTAGAAATTCCAATAGCTTTAAGGCCATCTATTGTTTTCTTTGAAATTCAAAATTTGAGATTTTTCAAAAATTAAGTCGTCTTTTTCTGTTTACTTGCGTTCATTGATTATTTTCCAACTGTCTGTTGGCTGTGTTTTAATGTTTGTGTTGTATCGCAAGTGATGCGAAGTTCCGCTTCGCCTCTGTGTTTCAATTTGATCCCGAAGATATTGATAAAAAACTTGGGAAAGCTTTCTTTCTTTGAAATTACTTACATAATGAACACAAGAGCGCTTGTGAATAACATCAATAATGACCTTCGCCAAAATACATGTTCGATTTTGATGATATTCGTGGTCTAAGTCAGGATAAAAATGTGAGGTGATTTTTCTAGGTTGATTTTGATGGAACTGGGTACCTGTCGGAGCGAAAAATACAGCAGCGAAAGCTAGAGCGGTTCAAGCATCTTCATAGAGATGAGATTTTCAACGATAAGGAGCAGCGTGATAAAATCGCCAAGTACGAAAACCGACTGGGTGGGAAAGGAAGCCAAATCAACTCATATGGACAAGAGTTTTCATCGAGAACTAAAGTCGCACATCGACCCAAGTCTTCAAGCCGAGTTATGGATGGGGTAAAGTCTCGAAGCAGGAAAAGTAAAAGCCGGAAGCGTCGCAGCGAAGACAGAGTCGAATCGCAGCCTAAAAAAGAACGAAGAGAAAAAGTTGTAATTGCGATGCCTAAAACGCTTCCTAGATCTGTTCTCTACGAGGTGTCTTTAAGTAGAACCCGAATCCCGAAGTCTCTTTCGTCGGTGATGGGACCCGCGCTTCCCGAAGAGCCGAAGCCACCTGCTGAGGAACGACAAGTGGTAATGGCAAGACCCGGAGAACCGAAACCCCCAAAGCCAAAGATTTCGATTCTTTCGGATTTGGACGATATTTCCAGTGAAGAGGATGCTCCAGGGTTACAAACTAACACAGAGATTGACCGGTTGTTGAAAGAGGCTCTGAAAGTGAGAAGCACTCGACGTCGACGTCTGGTGGTTCTGGAGTTGCTAAGACGGCTGCAGCTGGCCAAAGAAGCAAGGGTTCAATTGGTGGCTAAGAGAAAAGCACAAGCAGTGATTCTAGTGCATGCAGTTTTTGAGAGAATCAAGGTGAATTGAAATTACGCGTTGTTTTTAAGACTTATATTTTATATAAATTAAGAATGAAGCAGAAAACTTGTTTTTCAACTGCTGGGGATTTTTTATGTTAGGGAGTCTTTAAGATTTGTTTTTATGTCATAACTTTTTGTTCAAACTTGTTAATATGTTGCTCGGGATGACTGAACACGGGATGAGGAGTCCTGTTGAAAGGCGGTGTATCGACGCGCATAAAGCTCGACGAGCAGAAAAGTTTTAAATGAAAAATTGTATCGACTAGCATAAAAATTGAAACCCAAATTTTCACATTATCATACTTAAAATAGTTTAAAACAAAATTATATGTAAACCCTAGTTTTTTTCACATTTGAAAAATGCGCGACGATCAGTGTTTGGATCAAGCCATTGTCAGTCGGGGTGTGACAGATCTATTACGATTCATGAGTAAAGGAATTTCGTTTGCTTGTTGATTGCTTACATCATCAATTGCTTAATTTTCTATTTCTCAGAAATGCAAGTTTCAGTTTGTACTCAGTTGTTTTTTCTTTTCCTTGCGTTCATTGCTCGTTTCCTACTGTCATTTGGCTATATGTATAAAAAGGGCTCATGAATTCAGTGAAAAACGAAGAAAGGTCGTCAAAATTTTCGAAAATCCGCCCCCCCCCCCCCCCCTCGAGAAAATCCTAGATCTGCCCCCTGGCTTTAAGGTCATCTATTTTTCGGAAAACCGATAGTTGAGATTTTTTCATACAAAAATAGTCAAACATAAAAACATAGTCTTTTCATGCTTACTTGCGTTCATTGACATTTTTACAACTGTCTGTTGTATATGTTTAAAAATTGAAAACGCATGGAGGAGCAATGAGTCAGTGTGGCGATGGTGTGGTTTAGAATGTGGAGACTGTGATTCTGGACAGGAGAGTTGAGGCTGTGGAGGAGGTGAGGCTGAAGCAGATAGAGGAGGAGCGCATTTTTAAGGAGGAGTTGGCCCGCAAGGAAGCCCTGAGGGCACTCAGACACAAACAGAAGATGCACTCCAAAGAAGGTGGCCACACTCAATCAGTTCTAAATAGTGTTTGCGTTATATACAATAATTTAATTATATGCAAAAAGTTGCGAGTAATTTCTTTGAAAAATAGTTTCTTCATTCGCTGTTCAGAGTCATGCGCTGTTCGAATCGGCGATACCGGAATTGAATATGCAGGATTGTAAGCAAGTTAATTTATTGTATTTGAGAATCAAAATTAGAAGACAAAACTATTGTTGCAGTGAACATGCGGGAGAAAATCGTGAAACGTGCTATGCGGAAGAAAGACATGGAAGACTTGACTAAGAGAGAGCAGCTCCGGAAGCAGATTGCCTCTCAGGCCGCCGCTTCCGGTGCGACGGGGGGTCCCGACAACCCGGTGCTGAAGTCCACTGCGATGAGGGAGGCGAGACATTCTGTGAGGAGACATGGGTTCAAGCCAGACAAGTTGGGCCAGGAGGTAGACAAGGCTGTGGGTTACACTGCACCCGAGAACTACTCCCACTATGTGGAATACATGAAAGAAAAACGACCCAAGTAAGCACCAGTCTCATGTCCGAAGAGTCAACAATATGTTTCTGTAACTCATAATGAGATGTCTGTGTCTGGCCATAGACTGATTTATGAAAGCAAAAGTTTTTCTTGGAGAACCAATCTCTAATTGTTTTGGTATTTGATAATCATTAGGTTAATTTATTTTTTGTGAAATGCTACTTGTTTGTTAAATGTTGATTATTTTTCTTTGATTTTTGTTTTGTTGCTTTTTAGCTTTGTTGGCTCCGCAGTTGTGTCTAAATTTGTTCCCGAGGAGACACCGAATAGAGTTGGACCTGTGAAAAGCCAGGTTATTGTTCCGAGTCAATGCCCAGTCCCAAAACCACTGGAAGAGATTATTCAGAGCAAGCAATTCGAAACTGACTCGGAAAGCAGCTGTGACGATGAGCAGCCGACGCTTTTAAACTCACATGTAGTCACCAAAACCCTTCCACGTAGAAGAGCACCAATTGATTTGGACGACGATTCCCTTTACAAAGTAGACGGAAATATTTCAGAAAATAAAATTGAAAACACAAGTTTGAAGTCAAATGACCGAGCTAATCGGAAGTTCACCGACGCCGACTTTAAAGTGCCAGATGTTCCGCTGGCGTACATGGAAAACCGCAGTAATCCAGTGAAGAAGCCGCCTAATAGAAAGTGGAAGAAACCAGAAAGTGCAGGCACTCAAAAACAAGGAAGTAAATCGGGATCTGAAACTGAATCGGACAGTAGTTCGGAGGAGGAGAGTTCGAATCCAGCCAGTTCTGAAGAAGAAGAGGATTTTGATGAAGTCACTCCGAGAATATTGGACGGTAAAAGTCCACCAAGTGCAAATAAGCCTAAGTTGCCACAGAATAAATCAACACGCAGAAATAATACTGGCTCTGGTAGTTTGGAAAGTCAATACTCGCTTGTGGAGCAGCGCGAAAAAAATTCTGAAATGCAGGTGCAAAATGACGTTTTGACTCCAGGGGTGTCTTCAAGTATCGACACTGGAACGGTTCGAGTAAAATCAAATGTTTCACCGTCCAAGCGCAGAAATGCAGTCGCAGACAGTATCATGGGCTCGGCGATTAAGAAATCTAGGAATAAAGCAACAACCGACTTGACCGCACCGCAAGAAGATTCGGTCACTGACAGTTTAAGTGAAGGTGAAATTTCGACGGAAGATAAAGAGGGAAGACTCAACACGAGTAGCGAGGAAGACAACAACAGTTCTACTGAGTCAGGCGAAACGTCGTCGGGCTCAGAGTCGGAGGCGAACGAAGAGCTGGAATCAAAACTCGAGTCTTCAAAAAACTCGGCTGAGGGCAGTCAAGACGATTCTACGACAAATATTGTCAATGAGGAAATGGAAAAGAATTCAAATTGTGATGATGATACAAACTCACATCCGATTATCACAGATACTACAACAGAAACTTTTCCAGTTGATGGCAATGGTTCTAATTCTATGGAAGATATCCCAGTTTTGCCACAAGAAGAGAAAGTAAAGTTCCCTCAAAATCATTCGGTATCAGAAGATGAGAACGAAACTGTCCAACCAAAAATAGGCGATGATGTCGCGGAATCTTCTAGAATAGAAACTAGTACAGATGTGAAAACTTTAGTCGTTGAACCGGCAGAGGGAGTGGCTGTTAATTTGAGTGACAGCGAAGACGCAGAGGATACAGATGAAGAATCTGAAGTCGACTCTTCGAGTGGCTCTGCCGAGTCTGAAGGTCGGTCATCTGACTCTGATGCTTCTGGGGAAGAGAAGTCAAAACCAGATGAGAACTGACAATAATTGACGAAAAAAACTTATGTCAAGGTCAAGAGGCTCAGAATTTAAAAATTTAAACAATAGTTGTACCTTTTTTTGAAAAATTTTAGCCCTCTTCCTATTATTCCTTCCATTTGATTAATTTATCCCTTTAATGTTGTATTTCTTTTGTAATTAATATTATACGATATTGTTGTTTTTCAAAATTTGTGTTTTTAATATTGCAATTGTGTTTGCTTTCAGCTTTGTCGCGACCATGAACTGTGAAGGAACTTTGTATTTGGGATATTTTTGCAAATGACGAGTAAAATTTCAGCTTGAGTTTCTTGCTTTTTAGACTAATTGGAGTGAAGATTTACTCTTCATTATACAAGCAATGCTTGTGTTATAGTATGAAATATCATTTTTTTCCAACCTAAGTCGCAAATATTGTTGCGACGCAAATATTGTTTCGATAAAGTTTGTTCATTTTTGAAGTGTTCATTTTGATGAGTAACCAGCTATTAAATACAGCCAATGCTAAGGATTTTAACACAGACTATTAGTGTTCCGACTTTCGTTACAGAAGTAACGGAATATTTGTGCTCGGAGTGGTTTTTTTTCAGACAAATTTCGACTTTTTAACTAGCCATTTTTGACGGGATTTTTTTTCTACATCATTCAAAAAGTACTGCGCTTAAATTTGGGAGAGATGTTTTACCTGTGATCATTTTTCGCAAAGTTATGAGGGTTTAAAAATTGCCAATTTGGGACAATTAACTTGCGATATATTTCGCGCTATTAACGCGTAAGCGGAGCCTTAATCCGTCATAGAAATTGTCCCAAATTGGTTGAAGGAAGCACATTTGTCATAATTGATTTGTTACTAGGAGTATAATTTATCACTGTGTACTTAATATGGCCTGTGGTGGTTAATTTTCATAAAAAATCTCAAATTAAAAAAAAGTTTATTTTATTTTTATTACATTTATTTTTTTCATGTTATTACTGATCCATAGACTGCTCTATAAATTGAGGCATATTTGTTGGTAAGTTTCTTTTTTTGAATTGACTGGTACTGCTTATGCGTCATAATTGGCGTGCGTCACTTCACAAATTTTGTAGACTCAAAGTTTTACTCATTCAGTTTTCCCAGTAGCGTTATTGGTAATGTTTTTGCTTGTGTATGCGAAGTGTAACTTCGCTTCTGTGTAATAAATCATTTGAAGCTAAAGTTATTGAAATTTTCTGTTAAGGTTCTGGTCCCAGCCCGCACATGCAAAAAAAGTTTTTTGACTGACTTTCAGTATTTTAAAATCAATTTTGCTTTTAACTGTGTTCGGAAACTTGTGTTTCTTCTCCAGCAAACGGTTCATGTTGTTCCTTGTATTTTTTTGGCTTCTATTTGGAGCGACGCTTTTTAACCTCTATTTTAAATTCTTAAAAAACAAATTAATTTGAGTGAATGAGTGTGACCTCAATTACAATGTGTGACTGAACGCAGTGAAAGCGATCATTTGGGTTGTTCATGTTTTTTGATTTGAAAGAAGTAGTTTTCCCTATTTAGGTTTTTCAAAACTATTTTCGTTGCTGACTGTATTTTTATAGTTCTGGAGATAGAAATCGGGTTGTGCTTGATGTTTTAAAGAAAATGCATATACAATGTATAGAAACATTTTTGAGATATCGTTGTTATTCCGACGAATATAGTTGTAGTTCACTGAAAGTGGGGAGCAACTTTGTCTTCGGGCTTTTTGTATTTTTTTTCTTAGTTTTTTCATGCAAAATAAGGTGTTATAATTATTTATCAGGTTAGGTCTAGTGATAAATAATATTGAAACCTTTTCAGTTAGTCGAGAATCATAAGTTCTCTCAGTGTCAAGAAAAAGTCCTTTGAAATTTTTTTGAAAATAATTTTGCTTACGCCATTTACCGTTCACTTAGCAAAAGAAAGTTTTCTTTTTTAAATAAAAATCTGCGAAACATCTGCAAAAAATTTAATTTTTTTTCTCATTTTTCCTTCAGTTAAAAACGACTGCGGTCAATAATGATAATTTTAATACGTTCTAAGCACCAGCGGAATTAGGGGGGGGGGAGGACGCCCCGCCCCGCATCATGAATTTGACCCATTACTGACCCAAAGGGTCTTCCCTTTGTAATATTTTGAGATATTCATTTTTGGTGAAGGACCCCAAAATTTTTCTAAAGGCGCCTTTGCCGTCAATATATACTAATTTTGAGGGGGGGTGGAGAACGCTTATTTTGGCCAGTTTTTTCAAAAATTTGCCTGCGGCGCAGAAAACTTGGTCAAAATGGGGTCTGTATAGTAATTTACGAGAGCTCAGAAAATCAATTTGGTCAGCGTAAAAAAAAGTAGACAAAATTTTCGAAGTTTTTTGAAAATCTTAGATCCTCCCCTGGTTCTAAAATTTTGAATAATTGCCGAGTTCATTAGTTCGTTGAATAAAATTTTCTTTTAAATTAATTTTTCAAACAAATCAACTATTTACTATTTTGCAGACGAGGCCAATTGAGGTATCAAATTATTACTTGTTTAATTTTAATTCCTGGTGTAAAATGTAAAAAATATATATTTTTTGGATTTTGACTAAATACAAACGATCTCCTGACTATACAGCTTTGTAACTTGTAATGATAAGCAGTTCTTAAATGAAACCTAACTGCTGTTTATAGCGGATAATTCATAGTCTGGACAGGTTTTTGAAGTCGAGTAGGGAACAAAGTTTGAAAATCTCGATTTACCGTCGTGATAAGTTAGGTATTAGGTACTTGAGCGAGCGTCAACATTAACCAGATCATATTTTGTTGACTAATGGACATTTTTGTTCCGCACAATTTAAAAATATGAAGGAACTTTGAATTCGGATGTGTTTCTTTTTTTCTTTTTTGTTATCCACGCAAAATCAGTTACCTTAAGCAATCCTTGGACTGGGTCCAGAGAATTATCATATTAAAGCCCTTTCAGTCGTGATTCGAACGACATTAAAAATTACTGAAAAAAATTCTGAATGTCGAAAAAGCCGTTTCGAAATTTCTGGTTTTTAGTCTAATTTCAAGCTAATAAGGTGAGCGGGCAGCTTTCAATAGCTTTTTAAATCTTATGTTAAGCCGTGAAAATTTACTTGTAATTGAGTAAAGTTAATTCTTAGAGTTTTTAGCGCCATTCAGAACATTTCTGCAAAAAAAAACAAAAAAAAAATGATAAACTTTTAGAAAATTTGTATAATAATTTACGATTTTTTTTTGTTTTTCTAGCCGTTTTTCTACACAAACTGTTTTCCAGCTGGCAATATTTGCGCTTTAGCGTTATAAAATCGGTATAAAGACTTTTTTGGGTTAACAAATTGCTTAACAGAATTACTTGGTCTCTTGGTTCATATTGAATTCAAATTTCGTAGTGTTTCCGGCACACTTAATCTGGAGGCAACGGGTACGCCTGGGACGGCAAATGTCTTGGATTCGAATATGACTAGGACCCGTTTTTTGAAACGGCTAATATTCCGTTTCAAAAAATCTGTCGGCTTATTATTTGTCTGCTTGTAATTTGTCGACTTAGTTGCAACATTTAACATTTTTTTGCTGTATGTAGTTTTCATATCCGTTGCTTTTAATGTTTTCATTTTGTAATTGTACTAGCCTTGACTTCGTGTAATTTTTTTCTGATTTTTTTAGTTTGAATTTTTTTTGGCCTGAATGTTTTCGGCTTCTATTTTATCGGCTTACTAGCCTCATTTTTAGTTGTTCGGGGGAAACATAATTTGTATGTTTTCCTCCGTATCGCAAAAAACGTTAAAAAACTCGGAATAGAGTTTTTAGTTCAAAGTTTTTATTAACAACAGTTTTGCCCTAAAACCCTTTTCCGCAAATAGAACATCATTCAAACAACCTTTTGAAGTTTTCCAGTAGCAGTATCTTAGACAATTTTTCCGTTTTCTTTGGACTTAGTCGCTTTTCTTTCCTTTCCTGTCTGCTAGCCTGCAATGCTGTTTTCGTGGTACGGAAGTGTTCCGAAGCTCTGCTTTGCCTCTGTGTTGACTATGACTGTCGCATTTGCCTAATTTCCATTTTTTGTTCCAATTTTTTATCACTGAAGAAATGACACTGATTGGAAACGTTTCGTGAAAAACCGGTCCGAATTTTTTTTTTTGGTTCATTTCGAATGAGCGAGAGCAGGCTTACATAATTTTATTTTATTAGCTCAAACTCAAAAGCTTACAATTGCTTAATTTAAGCGGTTAAAACTTAGTTTTACTCGACTAAATTAGTTTTTTTGAGTATTATAGCGCCTTTTTGGAGACAAAATGTCAAGAATTCAAGAAACTGTTAAAAAAAAAGAAAAGATTTTGAAAATTTTTTGGTTTTTTCTGGTCCTTTTTTTTTTACAAAAATTGTTTTATGGTTTGCTTATTTTACTATAATTGTCAAATATGCCCAAACTCTAGTTTTTTGGTCAGATCGTTTTATCACACCACGCAGAAAAATGTGTATTTTTTAAGACTATGGCTGGAACATTTTTTGCTACTTGCACACTAACCGGCTATCCTTGTTTTGAATCGATTTTGGAATAAAATCAGATGTAAGTGCCCCCCCCCCCAAAAAAATTCGTTTGTGCTTTGCTTCAATTTGTGCAGTAGCTGAAAAAATAAACTGTTTTCATATCACACATGATTCGATTAACAGTCGTCAGCTTACATAACTACGACTTGCGAGGTTATCAATCATTCAGTTAGGCCTAGTCAAACGAACATGCTCCCGAAGAAGTTTTCAGCGACTGACTGAAACCGTACTGCAGTTCATGGCCACAAAATTCCTAGCCCAAACGGTTTCATAGTCAAATTGGAGCAATGTCTGAAATAAACGAATTACGGCCGCAATCTAGTCTAAAAATGGATCTTTGGGACACAGTTTGAAAATGAGTAAGTAAATGGAAGTAAAGCAATTGTCTAGAAGTAAAGTTGCGACAGTCTAGATTTTAGTCGCAAGTATCTGGAGAGGAAGTAGCGTCAGTCTTAACAAAAGTCACACAATTGGAAGCGAATCGAGATGCATCTTAAAGGTTCAAATAAAACTTCGTCATCTAGGATTTGATAAGTGGAGAATGTTCGGGCAGTAATTGATTTTTCTAAATGAATTTCTTTAAAAAAAGTTGAATTGTTTTCGGATTCGTGGTTTGCGACATGGTTTCTGTCAGTTCATTTTTCGCGTTTTAAAAAATAAGTTATCTGATACAGCTATCAATTTTTTTTTTCATTTTTTGGATAAATTTAGGAAACCACTTTACCGATTTTGAAAATGGGTGTATCAATGGGAAGACCGCTTATTCACCAGTGTGCCTGCAAAATCGCCTGGTCTTTTTTAACCATTGTCTACAGCCTTCGAAAAAGTCTATGGTAAGAATTTTTGTTTAATTTTTTTAATGTTTTTTTTTTCTGTTTTCTCAAAAACTTCAACCCAAATGTGAAGTTTTTAGTTTAATGAATAGTATGGGTTATGGAAACAACCCCTGCACCAGCGGCTACGGCCAATTTTTTTGATACCAGAAATTATGGCCTATAGAAATGTCAATTTTTTTGATTTTTTGACCATATTTTGATTGTTTTGACTTTTCTCGAAAATTACCAAGCCGACTCTAAGATTTTGGGTTCAATTCAAAAAATCGCTTATGCAAAATTCTTCTGCATTTGCGGCCATGCCCAATAAAAAAGATATGACCCTCTGAAAAATTTAAATTTTTGATTTTTTGAGAGTTCTTTGAAGTTTTTTTGACTTTGCTCGAAAACTACGCACCGATATCTGATCTTACTTTTGTGATAAGCAAGGGCTTTGCAATCGGGTATTAGACTTTTTCCCGTTAAGAATTTTGTTGACAGAATGGATGAATGTGAATTGGTATTCATTTCATTAACACTATGGTTATTGTAGTGTGAAATAGTGGCATGTTAGGTATGTGCTATGGGAGTTTGTTTGGAGTTGTTTCTAGAGAAGCTTTTTTTCTGAGTCTTTTTGATGCTGAGAATTTTGTCGCTGGGAGATGTCGGCTTAATTTCGTTGGCTTAATTTCCAAATGGTTTCTTTTCGATTGACCTTTTTTGGGATTATATGAGAATGATTGAACTTTTATTTGATTTTTTGAAGAACTTTGTTTCTAATATTCAAACTTTTTTAAAATGATATAATTAAACATAAAAGAATTTTTCAAAATGTTCAGTTTTTGTTTTAATTTTAGAAAAAATTTAATCCGTTCAAGTAAATTATTTAGCTGTAGCTTTTGTTTTAGTTTTTTTGATAAGCTGTTATTATAGCTTTTTTATGGTTAAGGTGTTTTTTTTGAGTTTTTGACGTTTGGTTTTTGTAAATTTTTTTAATCTTTGGATCCTAACGCATATTTGTTAGAGGTAGCTTTTTCGTTTCTAAAAAGAGGATCAAGCACGCCTGAAGTCCTATTAACTCAGAAATAAATCAACTCAAATTCTTCGGTAGTTTTGTGTAAAAGTTGCGCGAAGAATTTGTTCTTCTACTATGTCAAGTTGAGGTGCTGTTTGCTAATTTTTCTGATGCAATGATTGTGTTCCTTCAAATTTAGTTAGTTTTAACGTGTTAAAACAGTAACCAAAACATGCAGAAGAATTTCCCATAAACGGTTTTTTGAATTGAACCCAAAATCTTAGAGTCGGCTTGGTAATTTTCAACAAAGTCAAAAGAATCAAAATATGGTTTAAAAAAATCAAATAATTGAAATTTCCAAAGGCCAAAATTTCTGGTGTCTTGAAAATAATTTCATTTATCTTTTTATAATCAATGACAACTAAAACTACTTCGTTTTTGTTTTTTCGATATTTTTTATTTCGATAACTGAAAACTTTTTGAAATCAGGTGCTTTGTGGAAGGTTTGAGCTGACTATTTTTTCAACGTTTTTAGCGGTTTTTGTTTTGTGTTTTAGCGAGTGTTGGTGGTTCGTCGATTTTCCAGTCGGATTTGCGCGAGAGTCTTCACTTCCAACTACCCAACAGACAAGATGCGGTGGGACGCAGTTGTTTGAACTACAGGCAAAGTTGTGTTCCTTCAAATTTAGTTAGTTTTAACGTGTTAAAACAGTAACCAAAATACGGTTTTTTTTTCTGTTGTCGTTTTTTGGAAATAAAATTTTTTTCTTAATTTTCAGAAAAAAAACGTCTTTGTATTTTTTCACCTCTAGATAATATCGGTAATTTTTCTGATTCATTACTTTTTTAAAACGGTTCAATGACATGCATTTCTTTTTTTTATCAATAATAGTTTATTTGCATTTTTTCTATTGATTTTTTGTTCATTTTCTTTCTGTGAACTTGTTTTCCTCTGAAGGGAGATTCTTTTGTAGGAAATAACATCGGTATTCGTTTTCAGCATCAACGCTTTTCAAACTCAATTTATTTTTTAAAGCTGTGTCTTTTTTTATTTTTGTCACTTTTTTGTTTTTGAATTTTTTTGAGAAATTGTTTTTTTGAAGAAAAACAAATTCTACAATTTGAACTGTTTCGAGATTGTTTTTGAAATTTATCAATTTCAATATTTTGGCGTTTTTAGAAAATTTTTGGTTTTTTCTGCTAAATTTTATTGTTTGTTTGATCTGAATTGATTTAGTTCCTGCGAGCTGAATTAATATTGTTCGTTTTTTGTATATCTTTGTTTTATCTGAAAAGTATCAGATTTTTTTTTCATCAGTGTGTTCTTTACAAAAGTTTTCATCGCGTGAGTTCTGCGAAGCATGCCGGCTTACAACGTCAGTTGGAATCAAAATAATGTTGATGCTTGTTTACTTTTCAAAAACGTTTTGTTAACATAAATTTTTTCTGCTCTGCTCTGCTTCGCATCTGTGTAAATTTCATTTTTTGAAAAAAGCTTGCAGTGGCAAGTTTTCCAGTTAAACCATTTTAACTCAATTCTGATGGGTAATGGATGGGGCTTTTAAAGTGATAGGTGTTTGCCTTTGACTTTTGGCGTTTTGAATTTTCCGTTTTTCTTATGGTCCGTGTTAACCATTGGTTAATTACGTCTTGGTAGCTTGAGCGTGAGACAAATTATTTTAAACAACCGTGTATTTCCTAAACATTAATAAAAAACTAAATGCTTTTCAAACGCGTTTCTGCGCTGGGTATTGTTGTTTCACGCACAATTAACTCAAACGAACCAGTTGTAAACACGAAAGATAACCGAACCGGCCGGGAAATTACTGAGTTAAAAAAATGCAATCGATGCTTTTACCTTCAAAGGCCCCCATCAGTACTCATCAAAAGCGGTTAAAATTGAATTAAATGAAAAGTTTGCTGCTGCGTTTTCTCCAAAAACAGATTCCAAAATTTTTTGAAGGAAATTTAGAAAAAAATTTAATATGAAAAGTTGAGTTCTCCATTGAAACGAATAAATTTAACTTAACTTAAATTGCTTTTTCAATCATTTTATTGGTTGCCGGGGCGGATCTAGGGTTTTCTCGAGGAGATATTTTCAAAAAATGTTCGAAAGTTAGGTCAACTTTTTCTTTAAGCGACCAAATTGATTCTCCGAGCGCTTCCAGAACACTATAAAAACCCTATTTTGACAAAAATTTTGAAAAAAGCTGTTCAAAAATAGCCTTTTTGGACCTTTTTTGAATTTTTTGGAAAATTTAGGGTTGGGGCGCCTTCCGTTTCCCCCTTAATCTGTCCCTGATTGGCTTGTTGGATTTTAGCCTTGTCTTCAAATAATATTGAGTAACTTTGATGAAATTATTTGAGGTGAATGGTCGGGAACGCCCTTGAGAGATTGAATAAAACAAAGTTAAGCACACTAGCCTTGTTGATTATCCACTGTTGATTACGAGAATAGTCAATATAACACTCGTTACTATTAGAGTTCAATGGATGTTGTCAAGAAAAATACAGCAAGCGCCATCTGTTCCTTGGCGGTTCTCGCGAACTTAAAGATGGGTGCGTCACTTTCGAACTTTACTTGTTGGCCCAGATAGGATGTGGAAAAAACCTTTTCAATTTCAAGAAGTTTTATTCGTTGAACTTTGAATAATACTGAAAAACCAGAACGTGATATCTTAAAATCATTCATTCATCTTTGGGTAATCAATGACAAATAAAACTACTTTAGAATATTCGTTTTTGTTTTTTAGATAATTTTTTATTTCCATAACTGAAAACTTTTTGAAATTACGTGCTTTGTGTAAAGTTTGAGCTGACTTTTTTTTCAACGTTTTTTAGCGGTTTCTGTTTCGTGTTTTAGCGAGTGTTGGGGGTTCGTCGATTTTCTTGTCGGATTTGCGCGAGAGTCTTCATTTCCAACTACCCACCAGACAAGATGCGCTGGGACTCAGTTGTTTGAACTACAGGCAAGGCCAATATATTTCACAACACTCATTCAGATGTAAAATCTATAAGCTGATAGAAGTATGAAGTAATTCAAAGAAACTAGTAGCGTGCCAAGTGGGCCTTGGACTAGAACCAAATTGTAGCTTGTCAAAACTTGCAGATACTAAATATCAAGGTGCTAAAGGTGTTCTGAAAATACTCTCCAAATTCTATTGAGAGTGTGCGTGGAGCAATTTTTGGTAATTTTTTTTGGGTATTTAATGAAAAACTGTATTTACAAAAAAAACGTATTTTAGAGATAAAGAATCTTCTATTTGAACCAATTTGTTACTATTTCTAAAAATTAGTAGTTATCTTTTTAAAAAATTTAACACATCTATACAAACTGCTCTAAAATTCTAATTCCAGTTTTTATCAGGTAAGTACAACAGCATTTAATTTCAAACAAAAATCGAAAAAAAACTCACAAATCTTCTATGGTATGTCGCCAACATCCAAATGGATCAAGTCACCATTTGATAACACACATTGAGCTTTATTCGGTTCAAAATTAGGAGGTCCAGCAGCTCAATGGAATCAGGGATTAGCAGTAGCTTTAGCTTGGAACGGTATAAAAGATCAGTTCATTAATAGGTTCACTGATGATAAAGCTAATTACAAAATACGAAATGAACCAAATAATGAAAAAAATAATCTGGTGAATTTATTAAAAACCACATACATAGTTGAAGCACTGCAGTAGATCGTGGTTTACTGAATCCGATTGTTAATGTTGATCAATGAACATCAAAGAAAATGGAAATTTTTATGCAATGCTTAAGGACACTAGACTTAAAAGAAAAAGCACACCAATTTTTAATTTAGAATCCACCTGCAACATGGCCTCAATTAAAAATCATATGGTTACCACAGAAATGAGTTTTGCTGCAAAAATTGAATTAACTGGAACAGTTTCAAGTAGCGTTGACAATAAGTTGGAAACAGTATGAAAAAAGAAACAACTTAAAGAGCTAACAGGGTTAACGAAATATCTTGAAAGAAACGCAGCTTTCAATCCGAACGAACATAGAAGCTAACAAAACAACCCAATATTTTGTCCTTTGTGTGGCATGTCAGGCTATACAATTGGCCATTGTCTCAAGTGAAAGATCATCC